TGGACGACGAGTGGCGGCAAGTGTTGAACAGTAATCCCATTTACAAACTTCATATGACTAGTGATCTAAACGGTATACTCGTGTGGAAAGTGTCCGACAGTTTCTACATTCATGTGTAAGCAATTCAATACATTAACCCTATTATACATTGTATTCATTTATATGTGCCATAAATTGTGTTGAAAGCAATGATTTGAAACGGTTTGATGTGATAACGCATATAAACGGTTTGCCCGTCCGGTCGATGGCACACATGTATCGGGCCGTACGGGCGGTGCGGACGGGTCTGTCGGTGCGGCTGTCGGTGAATGGAAAGCAAAACGTGTTTACTATAAACCCTTCGCACGAATTGTTTGACTTATTGTCCGCTGACTTATTGACTGACCGTTTCGTTTGAATACTATGTTATTTTTAATCGTCTATTGTTTTTAAATATGACACTTAGTGTCCATTATATATGCATTTAATTATTACTGATTATTACTGTTATTAAATATAAATTAAATGTTGTGTTAATTATAATCTATTTATTAGTCAAATAACTATTTTTAGTTGACTTTCGGGGAGTAAACAATTTTAGCCGTACTTTATGTAAAACTAAACGTTTTTTGTGGCCAACAATTGAAACAAAGGCTGTGATTGGGTCTCAGTTTTTATTGTCAAATCATTCACTCATTTATTTGTCAATTCATTTGTCATTTGATTTTCGAACTCAAAGTCTGTTGTCATCTGTTTCTGCAGTAATTGTCACCAAAAACAAGACAAGTTTTGTGTCAATACATTCACAAATGGCGGGCATTTCGATCAGTAGTAAAGAATTCTATAGATATTTACTTGAATTACGTGCGATAGCCGGCGGTGACGTCACCATCAACTGCGCCGGAGGCCAAACCACACGCGCACATCACGTGGTGTTGGCAGTCTATTGGCCGACGTTTAGACAGCGAGTGACTGCTGCGATGGCCGCGGGGGAGGCGCCACCCGTGACCGCCGACGCGCTCGACATCGCTGTGGCCGACATGAATGACATACTGGAAGTGCTTTACGCGCAAAGACTTAACGGTATGGCCGCCGAGAGAGTAGAAGAGTTGGCCAGAGAAGCAAAGAAGATAGACATTACTTTGCGGAGACACGGCGTACATCCGTTACCCCCCGCCCTCCCGATGCCACACAACGCCGACCAACAGGAGGTGCCGCTCCCCGCAGCTGCGGAGGGCGGCGACAACAATGGCCACAACGCCGGCCATTAGTTGAATGGTTTGCCCGCTTTGCAGCAAATCTTCGGAAATTATTCTTCAGTTACTTTTAATTTTAATCATTAGTTTTTATCTGTTTTTTTTAAATTTATTTTCTTTTAATTTAATTTAAATTGTATTGAATTTATTGTATTTTTCGAGTTTTTTCTTAGTTTTTGTCATTTGTTTTGCTATTGTTTTTGTAATTTTTTTGTTGATTTACTAAATGTTTGACTAAATTTACTAAATATAAAATTCCAATACTTTTAACTGAAAATACGTTTTTAAATGTAAATTAATTGATTATTTTGTGTATTTTTAATTGATTTATAACTATTAATTTGTTTAACGAATAAAACAAATGCATTTTTATGTATACATTTATAATAATAAAAATTAATTACAATTTAATTGATCGTAAAATACATGTTAAACGAGACGTGTTTTACAAGCGGACAGTTTGGCCAACAAATGGGCGTTCGGTTGCATATGAAACACATTATTCGGTCGATTCACCGAAAACGTGACCCTCTGTCCGGCCCTCAGCGCCCGTACGGCCCAATACATGTCATCCATCGACTGGACGGGCAAACCGTTTATATGGGTTATCACAACATAACTTTGCAATTGTTGATCAGGGCTTTACACGTAATTTACAAATTATAGCCATTAATAAAGTATAGAAATGTTTGTGAATTAAATTGAATACATGTTTTGCCTGAAAATGTCGGACACATCCCACACGAGTACACCATTGAGTTCGCTGTGAGGTTCCATATAATGATTATTATTTTGCAACTTTTGCCGCAACTCGTCGTCCAACCAATAGATTACAAGACCTAAAGGCGACCCTTTAGTCGCGTCCACGTAATTGTTCATAAAATCTATGACTAAATCTAAAAATAAAGATCTTAATTAAGAATCAGTAATTAATTATTTACATATAATTAACATCAGTGTAATAATAGCCACAAAGCATGGACCCATATTTTACCGAAAATGCCGCCGACGGTCGCCACCGCTATGTTGTGTGTGTAGAGAGGGGTGTTGTCATCGTTAGTGATAACCGTAATGCCCACAACTTTGCCCTCGGCGTTGACCAGTGGCCGTCCATTTTCCACAACACTGTTGAGTACAGTGTGTTGTATAAAGTAGTGATTGACAATTGGGGGCATTTTCGACGCGATGTCCCGAATTTGTTTGAAATGAGAGCCCAACAAAGCCGGTCGATGGCCCACATGTATCGGGCCGTACGGGCGCTGAAGACCGGTCTGTCGGTGAGGTTTTCGGTGAATGGAAAGCAAAACGTGTTTTTTATAAACCCGTCGCACGAATTGTTAGACTTATTGTCCCCAAGAGATGACCGTTTCGTATAAATACTGTTACTTTTAATCGTCTATTGTTTATAAATATAACATTTTGTGTCCATTATATATGGATTCAATTTAATTATTACTGTTATTAAATGTAAATTAAATGTTGTGTTAATTATAATTGATTTATTAATCAAATAACTATTTATTAGTTGACTTTAAGGGGTGTAAACAATTTTGGTCGTACTTTATGTAAAGCATTACGTTTTTTGTGGCCAATTATTGTAACAAAGGCTGTGATTGGCTCTCAGTTTTTATTGTCAAATCATTCACTCATTTGTTATCAATTCAATTGTCATTTGATTTGTCTTAACTCAGAGTCTGTTGTCATCTGTTTCTGCACTAATTATCACCGAAAACAAGACAATCAATTGCTTGAATGGTAAGCCATTGGATCAGTTAATCCACACAATCAAAGACATTAATACTAACCAATTGTTTTCGCCCATCGATTCATAGGGTAATCAACAGCCGGGCGGCGGAGGAGGCGGTGGTCGCGGAAGTGGTGGCGGCGGAGGACCGGGTGGTGGACAGGGAGGAGGCGGTGGGGCCGGCGGTCAAGACGGCACGGGTAGGGGTGGCAGCGGTGGCGGCGGCGGTAGGGGTAGAGCGCCGGCGATGCCGTCGCGTCCGGCCATCGCTGGCCGTCGGAAGAAGACGTCTAAAGGGCCGGAGAAGTCGTTCAAATTGCCGGCAGTCGTACCGCACGGCAAGTGTAAGCTCCGGCTCCTGAAGTTGGAGCGCATCCACGACTGGCTGCTGATGGAGGAGGAGTTCCTCAAGAAGTGTAATGTGGAGATCGAGGCCAAGGCTCGCAAGACGGCCGCCGCTGCAGCCGACGAAGACATGGACGACGAGCGCAGCAAAGTTGAGCTCATCAGAGGTATGGATCCGATTCGAGTGATGTCTTAACCGTTGTTTTGATGTCTTAACCGTTGTTTTGATGTCTTAACCGTTGTTTTGATGTCTTAACCGTTGTTTTGATGTCTTAACCGTTGTTTTGATGTCTTAACCGTTGTTTTTGATGTCTTAACCGTTGTTTTTGATGTCTTAACCGTTGTTTTTGATGACCATTACTATTGTCTATACGTTTAAGGCTCGCCGCTGGACGTCGGGAATCTGGATGAGATCATCGATNATGTCTTAACCGTTGTTTTGATGTCTTAACCGTTGTTTTGATGTCTTAACCGTTGTTTTGATGTCTTAACCGTTGTTTTTGATGTCTTAACCGTTGTTTTTGATGTCTTAACCGTTGTTTTTGATGACCATTACTATTGTCTATACGTTTAAGGCTCGCCGCTGGACGTCGGGAATCTGGATGAGATCATCGATGATAATCACGTGATTGTGTCGACCACTCACGGCGCCCCTTACTATGTGTCGATCATGTCGTTCGTGGATAAGGACCAGTTGGAGCCCAACTCGACGGTACTTCTGCACCACCGCCAACACCACGTGGTGGGAGTGATGGACGACGACGTGGACCCGATGGTGAACGTCATGAAACTGGACAAAGCGCCCAAAGAGACGTACGCCGACGTCGGCGGTCTCGACCAACAGATCCAGGAGATCAAAGAGTCGGTAGAGTTGCCGCTAACGCATCCCGAGTACTACGAAGAGATGGGTATTCGCCCCCCGAAGGGTATCATACTGTACGGCCCGCCCGGCACTGGGAAGACACTGTTGGCCAAAGCGGTGGCCAATCAGACGTCGGCGACGTTCTTGCGTGTGGTCGGCTCTGAGCTGATCCAAAAGTATTTGGGCGAAGGACCCAAACTGGTGCGACAGCTGTTCCGCGTGGCCGAAGAGTACGCGCCGACCATTGTGTTCATCGACGAGATCGACGCCGTCGGCACCAAGAGGTCAGTCCAATCGCGCGATTCAATTGCATGAATGACTATTTTTTACCACTAATTGTCTGATTACCTGACCGTCAGATACGACTCGAACTCTGGCGGCGAGCGTGAGATCCAGCGAACAATGCTTGAGCTGTTGAACCAATTGGACGGCTTTGACTCGCGCGGCGACGTGAAGGTGATTATGGCGACCAATCGGATCGATTCGCTCGATCCGGCGCTCATACGGCCCGGACGTATAGACCGTAAGATCGAGTTCCCGCTGCCGGACGAGCCCACAAAGCGGCGCATATTTGGCATTCACACCAAACGCATGTCTTTGGCCGCAGACGTCAACTTCGATGAACTGATTGCGGCGAAGGACGACCTGAGCGGCGCCGACATCAAAGCCATGTGCACTGAGGCCGGCCTTATGGCGCTCCGGAAGCGTCGCATGAAAGTGACGGCCGAAGACTTTGTGAAATCCAAGGAGAATGTGTTGTTCCGCAAGAAAGAGGGCACTCCTGACATGTATTTGTAGTGTCTGTCTGTCTCTGTGTTGGAATCGCTGCGAGTATTCCTCGAGATATCGTTTCATTTAAATAGTATTGAATTTCATTGTATTTTTCAAGTTTTTTTTCTCTCAATTCATTTGTTATTTGATTTTGTGATTGTTTTCTCAATTAATTTATTGATTCACTAAATGTTTAGTCTATTATAATATAAAATTTTGATTCTTGACTTAAAATATGTGATTTTGTATAAGAAATAAATAATTAAAAAATTGATTTATAGTGTAATTATTAATAATTTAAAGTCACAATAACTGTTGTGAATGTCATTACAACACATACTAAATGACCTGAAAATACATTCATTTTATTTTTTGTTGAATTCAAAGTGTTTTCAATTTTTCTTAATTCAATTCAATTGCCATTTATTTTGTTATTATTTTCTCAATTGATTAAGAAATGAATGCAAACTTCAATATAAATGTCGATATTTTAGACTTAATTGCTGTGAATATACAGTAATTTCTATGATTGCAATGTTTTATAAGCAAATCAATTAATGAATGCTTTTGTGTAAATGTATTACAAATGCATGTAATGTTTGGACACTTTATCACTATTTTCTCAATTATATCCAAATTAGTATTAATTAAATTGTTGTCAATATTTAGTGATAATTGTCTCATATATACCACTCTTCGCCACTGTTTTGATAGACATTCACAACGGAATCGGTCTTCAAATGTGAGGAAAGA